AAGGCTCTTTGAGGCTTTTTTACGACCAAGCTTGGTGGGCATTTTAAAAAACCTAGGGAAAAACAACCGCTGGCGACAGGAATTGGCCATAAAACAAAAGTACAAAACCACGATAGACTACCAACTGTTGGAGTAGGTGCCTTAGAGCCAATAAATTATTGTAGAATTGACTCTTTGTAATAATGTTTATTAATCAATAAAAGGCGTATTCTACTATATCATGTAAATCATAACTGTATGTATTGATAAATGTCCTTAGGATGGTAGAACCATGATGAGGGTATCAAGTGTTTCAAATCTTCATAGTAAGAACCCCATGATCACATATGGTGGCCATTCCAGAAATGTCAATAACCATAGTATTATTCTGACGAAAGACACAGATAGTACAGTAAGACTATCATAGGGATTAACGACCTTGTCGAAAGACAGTAACTGATCTCACTTGTCAAGGTTGTTTGCTGACAACGTGGTACAACATATAAGTGCTTGCTATAGGCAAGTTCATTAGACTAACCCACCAGAGGATTCCAAGTCAATGGTAACCCTAATGTCTATGGAACAAATCCTCTAACGAATGGTGGTACATTTGATCCTTAGACTTGAAATCACCGGAGCACCTTATGAACAGAATGGTGTAGTTTGACACTAGCCTAACGTAATTCTATTTAGAGCCATCAATATGGTAGTGATTAGCTATATCAAGGAGTGTGTCAAGACTATGGTGGATCGACAGAGGATTCATCACTCCCAAATATGGGAGAAATTATCTCATGGCGCAATTCAGTGATTGACAATGAAACTAAAGTTGTGGCCACAGTGGGATTGAGTTGTTGTCAAATCCAATTTATTATTCCAGTCATTGGTCCAGTAACTGAATACAAAGGTATTGAGGATAACTAAGGTTGACACTATTTATATACCTCAATCTCGATAAGATAACAGATGATGAAAAGATTTGATTGCATGGTAACCATATCGTTGATAGATAGCTGTTTCACTAAATTTGAATCTATCGGTTGGCCATGATGCTTTGTTAGGGGCTAATCTTGGTCTGTGTGTAGTAAGATGATTGATTGGTGTCAATCGCGATACTACTCACTGCCAATATGATAAGGAGCATGCGGGTCACACACTTAGGAGACAATTTAAGGTTGATAAATTTTAGAAGGGCATATTGGCGATTTTGCTATGTAATGAAATTTATTGAGGTTGTAGCCTATGTCCAATTTTGTTATTGGAGTAATTTAGCAAAATTACAAATTTAATTATTAGAGTTAATATTAATATTTATATTAATATTTAACCAAATAATTAAATAGGACTAATATGCGATTCCACATAAGTTTGGGTTGTTGCAAACTTTGGAGATGGAATGGAAATTTGCCTCATTATATAAATGAAGCAAATTTAGGTTTTGTACGCAATTTTCATTGTGTGGCTGTACAGAAGATTTTGAGAGAAAAATTTCTCTTTTCTTCTCTTCACTCTATCTTTCTAAACACTATCCTCAAAGACAAGAATTGATTCTAGCAAAATCAATTCTTGGTCTTTGACATACTGTCTTCGTGTGGACGAAGTGACTTTGATTCCGTTCTTGAATCGGTAGAGAATTAGATTCAGATACACTGACAGAGCCTTCAAACACTAGTATAATCTAATACTTGCATGGATCTTTATTGTTTCAATTAAGCATATATATATATATATCAAACCCTGATCTTGGCGAAATCAGAGTAATCAATGGGCAAAAGTTTTATTTTCCGCTGCCTCTACTCATCGACTTACTAACACCAACAAGCCTGACTCTAAACAAGCAAGCAATTACCCCCAATCTACTACTCAAAAGCTCCAATAAAAAACACCCCAACTTCAAAGTCACACAAACCTAAGAGGAAGTCGCTAGTGAAAATGATGGACAAGCTCGGGTCAAACTGATGGGGGTTATGAAAAGGTGAATCCAATGAGTCGTTTAGTATTGATAGGTTGCATTTTGGTGGTTGGAGATGGGAAAGTTGGCTCAAGAATTTTACGAATAGGTGGTAGGCAACCCAAAAACGACCGGTGGATGGCAAACGGGGAGTGGGGAAAGTCGTAAATGGTGGGTTTAGAAGAGGGGGTGAAAGGGGTTCCAGTGATGGTGGAAGGGTGAATTTTTGGTCTACCAATCGACCGGAAACAAACCTAAAAGATGTATTCGTCAGAAAAAAGGTGAGATGAAGAAGACGAAGATGGGAGGGGGGAGATGAGAAGAAGATGGGGGTAGGGTTTTTTTTGTTGATATAGAGGGGGTAAAGTCACATAATTATCCTTTGACTATTTGTAAATTTACTTATTTTATCTTCATTCATGTAATGACTCTTTTTCTAGCTAGTATACTCGTAAAATAACAATAAAAACTCATTAAATACATATAAGAAAAGTATATAAACGAGTATAAAAGTATGGGCCCATATTTAATTTTCTTTATACATAAAACTTTACATAATACAAATAAGTCTCAAAATATTAGCTTGACAGTTTTGCCCAACCCTTTCCACTGCGTGATGATCCAAATGACCGCATTTCACCTATTACCTGCAAAAACATTGTAAACAATGAGGTGAGCACTAATTGCTCAGTAAGTAAACCCGCTATGTTACCTTCTCTTTCCTTTGCTTAAATTCTGAATTTCTTTCCTTACTTCACATTTCCCCATTCTTCTCTATTCTTTCTCTACTCTAACTCTGTTTTTCTCTCTGTTCTTTCTTTGTTCTTTCTCTGTTCTTTCCCTTTTCTTTCTCTATTCTAATTTCTCACTACTCAGATAATGGGCATGATATTATGCATAAATAAAATGCAAATGCACAATTGTATAAAAGGTGCATTTTCTTTTCTGTTTTTCTTTCTTCTCGGTTCCTATTCTGTTTTTCTTTCTTTCTCTTCTTTCTTATTCCTTCTCATTTTTTTCGTTTCTTTTCTTTTCTTTCTTATTCTTTTCTCTTCTTTCTTATTCTTTTCTTTTCTTATTCTTATTCTTTTGCCGATCGGACTCGGTTGAGGCGTGGATTTGGAACCTTGGCCGTGTGAGTGTATTCTTCTTTCTTGGGCACAGCCCTCATCCACATGCACTCTTATGGACTGTACCAATTCTTCTTTCTTCTTCTTAGGCCGCTCACTAAAGGCAGCGTGCATGTGGGGAAAATTCTTCTTGTCACTCACGGTTCCCCATCGCAACAACCTTTTCTTCTTTTTATCTTTTTACACTTCTTTAACTAAAATTCAAATTTGGAACTTTTTAACATTCTCATTTCTTTCTATTTAATCTTTGTCATTCTTTAGTGTTTTTTTTTCATGCTCTTATGAATATGCATGCATGTAAATGGTTTCATGCTTATACTTCTCTCTAAATTCACATGTTTAAATGCAATTATGCAATATGGAATACAAACATGTCATTCTCTACCATCTACAAACACTTCTCTTTAACATTTCATCAAACAACTTAGGCGCATAAAGGAACCCTAATTTGGCTACATTTCTATCTCTTTTCTAATCCACCAAAAAGTGGGAATTAAACCCTCCATATTCAACACCAAATCTGCCCAAAATATACACTCCAAAATTTCCACTCCAATCCTTCCAAATTTCATCCAAACATTCATCAAACATCTAATACATCAACACAACTTCTCATGGATAATTTATAATCATCATTCAACACCAAATCCATAAACAATTCTACATATAATATATGTGTATACATGAAAGAAATTCTCTACACAACATAACTTAAATCATACTTGGGGTAGGATTTACTTACCTTATACAAGAGCAATCCAACACTTTAAAAACTTTCTTGGATCCAACTCCCTTTCTCTTAAATCCTATGAACATAAATAATCAAAATTCAACACTTTAAAAATTAAAACTCACTTCTTAGTACAAGGATCTTACCTAAAGATGCTTAGGATTGAAAATCCACCCAAAAGTACCCAAAATCTATGAATTTTCTTTGAAGAAAAATTGAAGAGCTTGAGAGAATATGGAGGTGAAAATGGCGTGCATATGGTTGAAGAGTGGCTAGGGTTTCACTCTTCAATTTGATATAACATAAAAATATATATGTAGTTTCCCATTTTGCCCTTGCACTTTCTTTAAAATTTCATCTATATCCCTTAGTCAATTACCATAATGCCCTCATATTTATTACATTCACTCCCCACAATTTCAACTAATTTTGAATGAAAAGACCATTTTACCCTTAATACAAGTTTAAGGCATTTTCTTCACATTTTCTCAAAGTAACTTTAACAAAAATTAACTAGGAGGTATAAAAACATAAATTAAATTACGTACCTCCATGTGGGTGTTGCAATTAAGTTAAACTTGATGGACATATACTAACAGAAAGTGGGTAATTGTCTTTCTGAAACTGTTTGGGTAGTAAATTGTCATTAGGGCAAACTTTGGGTGGGAACATGTCGTTCAGCCTACATTGAAACAATAATTCATCGTGTTCTGTTTTTCCTTTTAAGTTCCTTTCTTTTGACTTTGACTAACTCTTGGACTCTCTTTTATGCTATATAGTCGACTCAATTAACGAAAGGCTGCTGAACCATTTGAAAATATACTTTACCAATTGAAACTCAAGTTAAAGCCTGGCAGTTTTGAAGCAAACCAATGTTATACCAAAAATGTCAATTTACGACAATAGCATGCCTCCTTATTATTGTTTCTTTTTTGATAATAATTTTGTTGTCTCAAAAGTTCCCATTGGCAATTGGTTTATCCTTCAAATTTTCTAGTTTCAGTTTTAATGACAATAACATAACATATGAGAGAGCTTTTCCACAAAACCAGGTTATCCAAATAGCTGTAGAAAGTGCTATTTAGGTCGAGCCACACCCTCTAAACCAATGCGCCTTTGGATAAAGCATCGGGAAATCTCACTGATTTCACAACTCATTCCATTTTTTTTAATTTTTTATTCTCAAAACAAAAGCCAATAAGGAGATGGGATGGCCTTCTTCCTCGCTCCTCAAGGTTCAAGGATTCCTTCGGACGCCACAAGAGACAGGTCTCTTGGTCTTACAGTTGATTCTGAGAGATTAAATTCAACTTCCAATCCATTCGTTGCAATTGAAATTGATATCTTCCACAACTATTATGATCCACCCGGTGATCATATGGGTATTAATATCGATTCTGTGAAATCTTTGAACAATGTGACATGGTGGAGTGATGTAAGAGGTAGGAGAAGGAATGATGCATGGATTAATTATAATTCTAGTACATAAAATTTCAGTGTTATCTTATAGTTTTATAAATAATGCCTTAGTGATGCTGCACCTTTATTATCAAATTGATTTGAGGCCTTATTTACCCAAGTTGGTTACTTTCGGCTTCTTAGTGGCGAATGTGAACAACTTAGCAATCCAGACCTTTAACTCATGGGAGTTTAGTTCAAGATTAGCAGCTGATGATAATTTAACCAATCCAATAATACCTGATAGAAGAGAAAACCAAACAGGACTCGCACTGCGATTGGGATTGGGTATTGGAGTAGGTATTTTTGTTGTTGTACCGGTTTTAGTGTGACTTCCTGGCTTTGGTAGGAAGAAAGAGGAACCAGACCTAAGAATTTTTCATATATGGACTTGGCAAGCGCAACAAATGATTTCAATGATGAAAAGAACTTAGAACATGGGGGATTTGGTGGAGTTTATAAAGGGTTTACGAGGGATATTGCTGATAAGAAATTATGTATGAATTTTGACGTGAAATAGATGGAGTGTTTGATGATCATCAGGCTGTCGTGTGCTCACCCGGATCATAATCAAAGACCATCTATAAGGCAAGTTATTTAGTTTATTAATATTGAGTTACCATTTAGGAATCTTCCACCTAATATGCCTGTTCCCAATTTTGATCATATGCTATATATAGGTGCAGGTGTAAGGTCAGGCCATGCGCCTTCTCAATCTTTGACTATTCTTTGTTAAGATTAAAAAAGAATCCTCAATTCACCCATAATCGATAAACAATATAAGCTGAAAAAAACGGAGTAAAAATAAGTATTAGAACCGTGTAGCCTTACTGCTCGTTTTAAACACAGTTTTTAGGATGCTCAAGCATACTATTTACCAAATCTCATTATTGATTAGATGACAGAAAGAAAGACTAAAAAAGACCCCTTGATTCACCCATAATCGAGATTCACTACATGCCAGAAAAAAACTGAGTGAAAAGAGACACTAGGACTATGCAACTTTTTTGCCCGTTTTAAACACAGTTTTCAAGACACTTGAGCATGTTGTTTACCAAACCTCATTATTGATTAGATGATGAAAAAAAGATTCAAAAAGACTCCTTGATTCACCTATAATCAAGATCCACTACATGCTAAAAAAAAAACTGAGTGAAAAAAGGTACTAGGACTATGTAGCTTTTCTACTTGTTTTAAACATGATTTTCGGGACAATCAAACATTCTGTTTACCAAAACCTCAAATAGCTTTTGCATATAGAATGCTTTTATTGAGTTGAAACGCTCAATATTAATCTGTATTAGCAAATATTATGTAGGTATTAATTTTCAATATTAATACCTAATTAATACCTACATACTAATTACTAATACAGATTAATATTGCAACCTCTGTTTTTCCTTGTTGAAGCGGCCCATGTAGTCTAATAATTTTTCTGCCGTCTATTTATTAATTTGTTTTAAACATATGTGAATTAATTTTCAATAGTAATTCTGGTTAAACACTCAATATGGGAAAGTTGTTAGATGGCCTACGAAATTACCACACATCGAGGCCAAGCGAGATACCACCAAGTGGTGTGATTCCATGGGGACCATGGCCATGTCACCGTTGATTGCATCACCCTCCATCTTGAAGTAGTAGAGCTACTAAAGAGGGGCCACCTTCACGACTTCCTAATAGACAAAGAGAAGAACACCCTCACAAACAAGTATCACCAGATTACACCTCCACCAAAAGCATTGGCTACAGACGAGTTGTGCAATGTGATCTCAAGCAGATCAAAAATAAGCAATGTAAGCTACTTCTTGGCCAAACGTCATGCCAGAGCCGTAGATAACCCCGAGGTCCAATCCTCCAGGCCATCTTCGCAGAAGGCAACCAACCCGACCATTTAGTTTGTTGACAACAAAGCGATGAAGTCAAGACCACAATTCAAAAAATCAATATTTAGACGGCTAAAAAAGATTCAAAAAGACTCATCAATTCACCCATAATCAAGATCTACTACATGCTACGAAAAAACTAAGTGAAAAAAGGTACTGGGATTATGCAACTTTTCTACTTGTTTTAAACACGATTTTCGGGACAATCAAGCATTCTATTTACCAAAACCTCAAATAGCTTTTGCATACAAAATGCTTTAATTGAGTTGAAGCGCTCAATATTAATCTGTATCAGTAAATAGTATATAGGTATTAATTTTCAACACTAATACCTACATACTATTTACTAATATAGATTAATATTGCCGTCTAATCGATGCCCAAGCATGCTATTTACCAAACCTCAGTATCGATTAGATGGCGAAAAAAGATTCAAAAAGACTCCTCGATTCACCCATAATCGAGATCCACCACATGTTAGAAAAAAACTAAGTGAAAAGTGGTAATGCTTAATACAATCTTAATATTTTCAATAAACGTAATCAAATAGCTTTAGCAATCTATAGCTGAACACATTTTATTATTGCATAGGATACTTCACTCCCCATTGGATTCGGCTTTCATTATGCCTTGATGGTCTACTTATGTAACTTCATCCTATTTAAATTATTACTATAATTTCATATCTTCTTATAAAAAGAATGAAAATACGTATTACTAAGTATCCCAAATCATTCCAGAGTGCTAGTTGGATTTTACCACCTGTTATAGTGACAAGCAAAATCAATCTTCCCATAGGTGTTCATATATCACTAGATTACTTCTACCTACATCCCTATCCTTCAACTTCCGAGAAAGAATACCCACAAGGTTTTCACATATGTAGTGTTTCTGTCGTCTAATCGATACGTGCAGTGTTGCAAACAACTTTTATTGATTAAGCTATTTGAGGTTTTCAATATTGAGTTCGTATTTATCAAATCAATAATACATAGCATAATGATGTCTAATATTATTATAAACATTCAGACTGAATAAAACAAAGTAAATGCTTCTGATTTCTAATGAAAAGCATCTTTTTGGCCCTGGAATTCTTGATGTATAAAGAATTTTGATCTAGTCGATTTGTGAAACTTCATTGTTACAGGGACCAACTCAATCCTGATAGATTAAAAAATTGAACCGATTGTGATCATTTATTTGTCCCATTACATATAAAAAATTTCCATCGGAACTCTATAAAAGGGGCTCAAGTACTTGAATGATGAAGCAATTAATACACAAACAACTTATTATTCTGCAAACAAAGAAGGTAGAAATTGAGAAACTAAAGAACTGAAAAGAAAAATCTGAGAATTCGTGAACTCTATTATTAATTTTCTGAGAGATACACTTTTACAATGACTCGTTTCTTTATATACAAAGAAAGAGAGAGAACAAAATGCTACAGAATAAACCCAGCTTCAACGATAAATAGAAGAGTAAAGTTACTCTTCTCAAAATGACGCCGTCTCTTCTTTTGTGGAGTTGCAGTTTTACAAAACTGCACTCTTTTCAGTCTGGCTAACATTCCCCCTCAGATTGGACTATGGCTGCTGAATACTTCAACATTTTTACTGAATTGCCTTTTAGACTTCAGTTTGTTGTCTTTAGACATTTTCTGCACTTCCTGCTTTTTCAAAAAAAATAACACTCCATCTACTATCTTGTTTTTACCAACATAAATGGACTACTTCTGCACTTTTCCAATTAAACTCATCACCACACCACTAAATTTCTTCAAACATCCAGTATTTACCAATCAATTTACCACCAATGACTAGATTGCTTCACTACTACTGCATTTTAAACTCTTTTGCACTTTTTAAATCACCATCACACTACTAGATTCTACTAAAATCCACATTAGCATTTCCTACTAACATCCAACAATCTTACTAAATTCATGACATTCAACACTTCCCATTCAACACTCACCTTCTTCACATTCTACACTTTTTAAATTCACCATGACACTACTAAATTCTACTAACATCTAGCATTAGCATTTCTTACTAACATCCAGTAGATCTTGCTAAATTTATCACATTCAACACTTCTCATTCAACGCTTCAACTTTTTCACATTCTGCACTTTTTAAATTCACCATCACACTACTAAATTCTTCACATTCTGCACTTTTTAAATTCATTTCAACACTTCAACTTCTTCACAGTCTGCACTTTTTAAATTCACCATCACACTACTAAATTCTACTAACATCTAGCATTAGCATTTCCTACTAACATCCAGTAGGTCTTACTAAATTCATCACATTACTAGATTCTACTACCATCCAGCATTTCCTACAACATCCAGCATTTACCAAGCATCATCACATTCAACACTTCATCTTCTTCACACTTACACTCTACACTCATCACCCCACAGTTATCACTACAGAGCACCAACATGCACATTATCATACTGCAACCAGCACTTCAATTCAATACTTATTTCTAGTATTCACATCGTCATACCACAAACATCAATTCAATACTGCAAACAACATTCCGAACAACAAGAAAATAATAGTCATATCAACATACCACAAACACCAACTCAAAAGCAGCAAACCCTCAAACACAACACTTCTTCTAATGCTTCTGCATACAGTTAGCAGCATTCATATCAACATACCACAAACACCATCACAAAACAGCAACACAATGGAAGTTTAACACACAACAGATTTTCTAATGCTTCTGCATACAATGTTAGCAGAATGTTACACTGCATTAGAGATTTAAGATGATCCTAAATTACTATCAACTGTAACCTCTGAATGTGGGATCTCAACAACATAGAGTTTGTGTTTCGAATCTTGGAACTGACTAATGGAAAGTGCTTTTGTCAGAATATCAGCAATTTGAAGCTTGGTGGGAACATATTGCACAATAACCTTTTTTGCAAGAACTTGGTCAAGTATATAGTGAGTATCAATCTCAATATGTTTTGTTCTTCCGTGAAAAACTGGATTTGATGCCAAAGCTCCAGCACTCACATTGTCACACCAAATGACAGGACAAGTGTTTAAAGATACCCCTATTTCAGTAAATAAACTGTCCAACCAGGCCAATTCAGTTGCTGTTTGGGCTAGTGCTCTGTATTCAGCCTTTGTAGATGATAATGACACCACTTTTTGCTTACGAGAACTCCATTGAACCAGATTAGGACCTAGGTACACACAATATCCACTAGTAGACCGTCGATCATCTAAATTACCTCCCTAATGTGCATCGGTATAGCACTCAACACTAAGGGAGGCTGTTGCTCTAAACAACAGACCATGGAATTGAGTACCTTTAAGATACCTTAGGACTCTCTTACACGCCTGTCATTGGAGCTTAGTAGGAGCCTGAAGATACTGACTAAGTTTGTTTATTGTAAAACTGATATCAGGCCTG